ATGGCAGGGTTTTGCTTAATTTTGTGATGCAGTATTATAAGGATGATTGAAAAAAATAAAAAGTTCATATTATTTACATTTGCCCACAATCTTTTTATATATCTTAGTACGTTTACTTTTGCAAACAGGAAGAAAAATCTTTACATTCTGATTATATGCTGACCTTCCAGAAGATGTACCACAGGAGCAGGGTGGGCAAAGATACCATACGTCCCCTTTGGACCCTTTTATAGGTATTTTCAAGATACAAAATTAATCCCATCTTAAATTAGAAAAGCCCAGGTAGCTCATTTATTGTAGCCCATTCTTATGATATCTATGGGGTCTAGCACAGCACAGATTACCCAAAGCTACAAAGTCAGATCCCAACTTCACCACTGAAATGTACCTGCAGGTCCTGTGGGAACCAGCACAGGGCTATTTATGGAGTTCCACATCTGAGAAATTCAGGCCACTAACTGGCCATTATATTAAAGCCCTTAGGACATTTATACATGTGTTCTGAGGCGGGGAGGGGGAGCATTTTAATTAGAGTGACTCCAAAAATTGCTCAAATTAAAGTGGCCAGAGCATCACATATACCAGCATCCCCATGCTGAAAAATGGCAGCAGGGGCACTTTAACTAAAGCTCATTGAACGAGCTTTAGTTAAAGTGCCCTTGCCACCATTTTTCAGCACAGGCTCACTGATACAAGTGATGCTAGAGTCTGCTGAAGCACCGTACTTACCACACTCCAGCAGCCTCAATTAATTGAGTCTGTAATTACTGACTCACTGTACATGTGCAGGTGCCTTTATATACCATCAAAGAAACTTAGAGTGGCTAGAGTGGATGATAGGGATCTGCTCCAGTGCTTTTATATAATTCATAACACACTACAATGAAACTCATTTTTTTTTAGTTCAGGAGAACAGTTTGCATTCTTGTCTGTCAATACATGGCCTACTACAGTTTATCCCACATAACTTTTGCTTAGGTGAATCAATAGGTTCCGCTATCTTAAGTAGCTAGTATAATAAATATTTAGGTGCAGGTGCCCTCACAATTGAACAAATACCAGTTTTACACACATAGCACTTAATATACTTCAAACTCTTACATGCTTAATTTTTAACATGTGCTTTAGTCATCAGTGGGCACGTCTACATAAGATGCAAACTGCACACTAGCTGAACAATACTGCGCAGTAGCACGTCACATCACAGACAATTCTAATACACTACAGCATGGTATTATTAGGTTACTGCATATTAGTGTGACTAAAAAGGTGTTCATTGGCACTACTGCGCAGTAACTCTAGTTACTATGTATTTATTTAGTACTTGATTATACAAATACTAAATAAATGTGCAGTAACCACTGTGCAGGAGCATCTCTTGTAGACGCACCCAGTGGGATTTAAAGCTTACCACTGATTTAAGTGCCCTGTATAAATATGAATGCTTTTCTGACTCGGGGTCATAATTCAAGTTATTTTCTTTTTAACTTTGTCCGTTAACTACTAAATGACAAATTTTGCAATTAGCATCTATTTAAATTTACAACTTTTAAATAATCAGCCACAGGGCTCCCCTATTTTTCCCTGAATGAAATACAAGACTTTTGAGAATTAGAAGAAAATGATGTAATAAAAATTAAATCTAAGGACATAGTTCAGCCACAGTTTATTCATAATAAAACTGATATTTATTCATCAATATATGCATAATAAACTTGATTTACATGTGCAACCCTTGTACAGGCAAAATTTCCACTGACATGAAGAGGAATACTAATTATACCAGGACAACAGAGCTCAGCCGTATGGGTCAGGTTGTGCCCAGCACTTACATGCATACTCAAGGAAAAAAGAGGGTGATTGGAATATGGGCTGTCACTATACAATCCCTATACAGGTGTCAGAAACAAAATCAGGCTTTGTGCCATGGGAGTAAAAGAACTCTTCAGATCTAGTACTAATGCCAAAAAGAGTGCCAAAATAGGCAAAGAAGATATGGTCCTAATGCTGACTCCCACCTACACTGGTTAAGGTGGGTACAAAGATGATATACCTCTTCAAAGGTGGAAGAGGTGGCCATATTCTGTTAAACTCTGGAGAAATTCAGTGATTGGAAAGCATTATATAGTCCAAAGTATTTTCTTTCTAAAAGAAAAAAAGAACAAGTATTTTCCTACATTTTAGCTATACATTTCTTCCTCACTAGGACACCTCTTTAAAATATTTTTCAGTATGATTAGATGTATGCAGAAAATCACAAACAAACTTGCATCACGTAGCATTGATTATACAAATTCCAGAAACCCCATCAACTTCAGACTTCCTGATAGTGATGGTAGTGCTCTTCTACAACTTTGCTAAAGTCACTGGCATGATTCATAATATCGGTATTGCTCTTTTCCTAAGTTGGCTCAAGATGCTACTATGACTCCATCTCAATATGTTTCATTGTTTACATGTGCTATATCAATTTATAGAGCCCAACCCTGTTTGCTTCAATTTTGCAAACTGTGCTGGATTTAATCCAACGTATGCATGATTACTGGTACCATTTAAATCTTACAACTTGCCCAAAGAAAACTGCATTACATACATTACATAAAATACATTACAGATCTCAAGCACTTAGGGCTGAATCCTGCAATATTTGCTGGCAGACATGGTGCTTACTACTATGAGTAGTCCTAGTGAAATCAATGCCAGTATTACATTCACTGTGGAAAGTCCTATTCCCAGCGGTAAGTGACAGCAGAACTGGGCCCAGAGATGGTGCATTTTGAACTGTCCATTTATCATTTTAATTATTTAATCAGTCTTCTAATATAATAGTATTCTTTTAATTTAGGGCATTGTAAATAACTGTATACTGTATTTTTGTATTTTTATTTTTTAAGTTATTTTATGTTTTCTATATTTATTCCTTTGTTTTAAAAAGTTGGAAAAGCTGTCTATTACATTGTTTTGAGAACATTATAAGAAACAGCATCTTGACAACATACTTGTTTCATTACACTTAAAGAAATGCCTAGCATAGAACAAGAACATATCTAGACAGCATGGAGTGTTTAACTTCCGTCTATCAATCACTACCATGACCCATTAACCTGGGTACAATATCATATCAATTTGTATATTATACAAGCCACAAAATAAATGGAACTAATATAGGTACTTATTTTCTATAATCAGAAAAAACACATGTATACTTACCTACAGAGATTTACAAGACTTGTCATTTACAGTGCAAAGAATAGCAAGACACTGAAACCAACTCAAAACAAAAAAACTTCACAAATCCACCCAGTGAAACTGGGTTATAAATGGATAATCATTCTACTGAAGTGAACTTCATCCTGGTAAAATGATGATGTTACAAAGAAATATGTATCACTTTTTAATAAGTGATGCTTATCTTTTAAATTCAACAGATTACCTGACATATTGCTTGCTAAAGAGCCTATTCAATTGCAGTACCAAAGGCAATTGTAGAAATTTATTTTGATTTTGGCTAACATTCCTGTAATTAAATGAAAAATGAATTGTACTGTGCCAACTCCCATATCACATAACTTTGGTGAACTGTGTTGGTGTCTATTGTTTATTTCCCTAAAAACTTTAAGGAAACAAAGGTAGTAAAACATAAAATGTTAAAATAGAATTCAAATGAGCATAATTTTGACAGGAATATTGCAATCCCTACTACAAAAAATATCACAAGCAGTATATCAAAAATATAGTGACCTGGGCCCTGGCAAATAGAGATGTATTGGCAGTAGAATCTCAAACAAGTCGACCTTTCTTGCATTTTATTAAGAAAATTTCTGTTTCTTCAAGCCTCCTTCCTTTCCTCCAGTGGAACACATTTAATGATTCATTTAAGTTTGAATTAAAACTCTTTTGAACTAAATCTGCCTTGTTGTGCTGTTTCTAGGGTTGTGCATCTCTAGTATTGGGTTGTGTGCTGCGGACCTCCTCCTCCTATTCAAAAAGTGTTAATTGCCATAAATGCTTGGGAAAATGCTTTTCTCACCTACAGCAAGATGACACTTAAAAATCAAAGCCCTGATGCACATTGCCTGAGATATGACTAATGCCTAAAGTTGACTATTTTCAAGCAGATATGGCCAGCAACCCAATTCCCCTCAACTAAATCCAGATACCCTAACAGTACCGCTGCTATCACCTAGCCCGCTCCGCAAGTTTTACACCTGCTCTGGGTTGATGACCTCTCCCGAGAAGGTCCACTTCCTTCATTTTATAGACTCATTGCCCTGGCACGGTTCATTTCTTCTTGTAAGTGAGGGTAGCAACTATGCAAGAGGGTGTGAGGGGAAGCTGTGGCTTTCCCCCCCTCAGACAGAATGACAAGCATCCAGTAGCTTCTTTGTCATTAAACATTGGATCAGAGGTAAAAATAAATAAATAAATACATACATATATACATACCATCCCTGGAAGAGGAGGCTATTGTAATGCGAAAGGGGCTGCAATGATACCATTGTGCCCATTCAAGCCACCCAATAAAACACCCAAGTTCTGCACCAGCGCTAGGCACAGAGCAAGAACAGGTCCCTGCTGACGCAGTGAGGGCAAGAAATTCAAAATTCCTGCATCCCTGTAATGAAAGCCTTGGGCTGGAAACGCAGACACGCTGGCAACTGGGCGAGAGGAGGCTATTGTAATGCGAAAGGGGCTGCAATGATCCCATTGTGCCCATTCAAGCCACCCAATAAAACACCCAAGTTCTGCACCAGCGCTAGGCACAGAGCAAGAACAGGTCCCTGCTGACGCAGTGAGGGCAAGAAATTCAAAATTCCTGCATCCCTGTAATGAAAGCCTTGGGCTGGAAACGCAGACACGCTGCAGGGGGGGGGAGCCACAGCCACCAGGCTGCCTGCCTGCCTGCCAGGATGAAGACGGCAGGGATGGGGAGGAGGGTGGGGAGGAGGATGGAGGTGAACGTCCCCCAGCAGGTGGGCTGGGGGGAATCATGCCCCTACCTCAGCAAGCTGGATAAGGGAATAGCTCCGGATCCACTGCCCAGGATCCCGCCTTTCCTCCCAGACAGGAGTTTCTCCACCAGAGCCACGTTCCCCGTGCGAGCGGCTTCCAGCAGCTCCTGGTCCTTGCCCATGGTGGGGCCGCGCGCCCCGCTCCCCAGCGCGCAGCGGCGAGGGTCGGTGGCAGCCCCCCTCTCACCTCCCCCCTCGAGCCCTGGCGCCGAGGCGGGAGATGCCCGCAGCCCCGGCCGGCCCGGCGGCGGCGGGCGCCGG